TAGGATTTTTTCGTGTCTTTTGTACGGAATTCTTTTAGTATCTCTTTAGTATAGATGTAATATAGCATTAATGAGATATAATATAGTATTAATGAGATATAATATAGTATTAATGAGATTTTATATAGAATTAATGAGTCATAATATAGCATTAATGAGATGTAATATAGTATTAATGGGATATAATATAGAATTAATGAGATATATTATAGTATTAATGAGATGTAATATACCATTAACGAGATGTAATATAGTATTAATGAGATGTAATATAGTTTTAATGAGATATAATATAGTATTAAAGAGTTATAATATAGAATTATGAGATATAGTATTAATGAGATATATTATTATTGAGATGTAATATAGTAATAATGAGATATAATATTGTATTAATGCAATAAAATATAATATTAATGTAATATAGTAGAGATTTAATAGAGTAATTGTTCAGCATTCTGCATAATGGAGTCAGATGCCGTGACCCTGCTGGAGTGCGGGGGGGACCTCCAGTCCCCAGGGGGGTCCCTGCGCCTCCTCTGCCGAGGGGCCAGGTTCAGTTTTGGGAATTTTGGGATGCAGTGGGTCCGCCAGAGAGGCGGGCAGGCGATGGAGTGGCTCGGTGACGCTGACCATGAACAACCTCAAGGACGAGGATTCTGCCACCTATTTCTGCGCCAAATCTGTTAATGTTTGGTATGATCCTGCTGGTGTTGTTTATAGATTTGACTGTGCCCCCCATCCCCGTGTCCCCCCCTGTCCCCGTTGCCCAGACCCTTCCCCCAAACCCCGAGCCCACACCCAGCCCTTGGCCATTGATCCCAACCTTGCTCTGCCTCCGCCCCAATTCTCACCCGCTGACCCCAAACCACAACTCCTGACCCCAAATCTCCTCTTTGTGCCCCAGACTTTGAATTAAAAGTGGAGATTTGAGGCCAAGGTTAAGACTTGGGTCAACTTTCTTGCCAGGTGTGGAGAATTTGGGGAAGAACCGCTCTAGGGTTGGGACAGAGACAGGAATGGGCAAAAGGGTTTGGGTTTTAAGGAAGGGTCTGGGATTTGGGAGCCGGCTGGGACACGGCCACAAGGTCCGGACCAAAACCATCCACACCAGCACCAGTACCCCAATTGTTATAGGCAGATTTACCGCAGAAATATGATCCGGAATCCTCGTCCTTGAGGTTGTTCATGGTCAGCGTCACCGAGCTCTGCCCGTTGTCCCTGGAGATCATGACCTGGCCCTTGACCGACGGCGCATACCAGGCGCTGCCACCAGTGTTGATCCCTGCGAGCCACTCCAGCCCCTGCCCGGGTCTCTGGCGCACCCAGAACATGTCGTAGCTCCCGAAACTGAACCTGGACCCTCGGCAGAGGAGGCGCAGGGACCCCCCGGTAGGCTGGAGGTGCCCCCCGCACTCCAGCAGGGTCACAGCCGCCCGGAGCCCTGTGGGACAAAGGGGAGATGATGAAAACGACAAATCTGATTGGTCCAGAACGAGAAAAGGGGCATGGCTTGCAGAAAAAAGGGGCAGGACCCACGTGAGACGGCAGCCAGGATGAGGATGTGGTGGCAGAAGTGTCAAAATTTTTGGCCAAGAGTCAGGATTTGAGTCAAGGGTTGAGCTTTGGCCTCATCCCCATCTTCCCTTTGTCCCGCAGGGCTCCGGGCAGCCGTGACCCTCCTGGAGTGCGTGGGGGACCTCCAGCCCCCCAGGGGGTCCCTGACGTTGCTGTGCCGAGGGTCCGGATTCAATTTTGGGAGTTATGGAATGTACTTGATCCGCCAGAGACCTGGGCAGGGTTTGGAATACGTCGCAGGGATCTACAACACTGGTGGCACCACCTGCTACAATCCATCAGTCAAGGGCCGGTTCAGGATCTCCAGGGACAATGGGCAGAGCTCGGTGACACTGACCATGAAAAACCTCAAGGACGAGGATTCCGCCACCTATTTCTGTGCCAAGAGTGCTGGTGCTGGTTTGGCTGAAAGTGCTCATCGTATTGACGATGGCCTTGCTGTCCCCATCCCCATCTCCGTGTCCCCCCCCTGTCCCCGTTGCCCAGATCCTTCCCCCAAACCCCCAGCCCACACCCAGCCCTTGACCATTGATCCCAACCTTGCTCTGCCTCGGCCCCAGTTCTCACCCGCTGACCCCAAACCACAACTCCTGACCCCAAATCTCCACTTTGTGCAACAAAACCTTGTTATAAAAGTGGATACTTCAAGCCAAGGGTGAAGTTTTGTGCCAAATTTTTGGCAATGTGCAGGGAGCGGATTTCGGGCCGAACCACTCCAAGATTGGGACATGGGGACAGGAATGGGGTCCAGGCTTTGGGTTTTGGGGGGGGTCCAGAGAATGGAGATAGGTGGGGACCGGGGAACAGGAACACGGCCAAATGCAACCGAAACATGAGAGTGACTAATACCTGCAGCAGCGTTACATGCGGCACTACCAACAACACTTCTGCCACAGAAATAGGATCCAGAATCCTCGTCCTTGAGGTTGTTCATGGTCAGCATCACCGAGCTCTGCCCGTTGTCCCTGGAGATCCTGAACTGGCCCTTGACTGAATCCGCGTACCTGGTGCTGCCACTATTGTTTCTGATACTCGCAAGAAACTCCAGCCCCTGCCGGGGTCTCTGGCGATACCAGCTCATGTTGAAACCACCGGAACTGAACCCAGACCCTCGGCACAGCAACGTCAGGGACCCCCCGGGGGCCTGGAGGTCCCCCCCGCACTCCAGCAGGGTCACGGCCGCCCGGAGCCCTGTGGGACAAAGGGGAGATGGGGATGAGAAACCTGATTGGTCCAGAGCCTCAAATGAGGCGTGGCAACCGGGAAAAAGGGATGGGAGGAGTATTGTGACCTCCAAGGGTCCCAACCTGGGGCCAATAGTTGGGATTTTGGGGTCAAAGGTTGAGCTTTGGCCTCCTCCCCATCTCCCCTTTGTCCCGCAGGGCTCCGGGCGGCCGTGACCCTACTGGAGTGCGGGGAGGACCTCCAGCCCCCCGGGGGGTCCCTGCGCCTCCTCTGCCGAGGGTCTGGGTTCGATTTTGGGAAATTTGCAATGGGCCGAGTGCGACAGAGACCCGGGCAGGGGCTGGAATTCATCGCCAGCATGAACAGTGGTAGGGGCAGCACCAGGTACGCAGTTTCAGTCCAGGCCCGGGTCACGATCTCCAGGGAGAACGGGCAGAGCTCGGTGACGCTGACCATGAACAACCTCAAGGATGAGGATTCCGGATCCTATTTCTGTGCCAAATCTTCTGGTGTTAGCACTGCTCTTACTGCTTTTTATGGGTGGTTGGGTTGGTGTTTGGGGTTTCAGCCCCGTCCCTGTCCCCAGCTGTCCCCAGACCCTTCCCCAAACCCCCTTGACACACCCCTGACCCTTTGTCCCAGCCCCGCCCCCTTTGCCCCAACTCTTCCAATTGGCCCCAAACCCTGCCCTGGGTCTGCCCCCAAACTCAACTCTCGGCCCGAAATCTCCTCCTCGTGCCCCAAAAGCACCTAAAGGGCAGAGATTTGGGGACAGCGGGTGGGATTTGGGTCAGCGGCTGCGGCTGGGAGCCCAAAGTTAGGATTTGGGGCAGAATCGGGTGAGTTTTGGGGCCAAAGCAGGAGGGTTTGGGGCAGAACCACTTTGGGGGTTTGGGGTCTTTTGCCACGATGGGTGGAACTGGGGGAGATCTGGGCAAAGGGTCAAGAATGAGGTCAAGGGCTGAGATTTGGGTAAAGGTTCTGGTGATATTGGGACAGGAGGGACCCAGGCAAGGGGAAGTGGCCAATAACAGTGACATCATTACCCCAACAGGCACCAGCAGCCTTGGCACAGAATTAGGATCCGGAATCCTCGTCCTTGAGGTTTTCCATGGTCAGCGTCACCGAGCTCTACCCGTTGTCCCTGGAGATCGTGAACCGGCCCTTCACTGAATCTGAGTGGCCAATGCCACCACCGGTGCCCTTGATCCCCGCAATGTATTCCAGCCCCTGCCCGGGTCTCTGGCGGATCCAGAACATGGAGAAACTCCCGGAACAGAACCCGGACCCTCGGCAGAGGACGCGCAGGGACCCCCCCCGGGGGGCTGGAGGTCCCCCCTGCACTCCAGCAGGGTCAGAGCCGCCCGGAACCCTGCGGGACAAAGGGGAGATGGGGATGGGGTGATGCAAAAGTCAGGTGGAGGTGTCCAATTAATTAATGGGTGGATCGGAGTTAATTTCAGGGTTTAAGGAACTTTACCATTCAGGATACCTCTGTTGGATGTTTGGGGCCAGACAAAGGGTATTTGGGGCAAAAGCGGTGAAGGTTTGGGGATTGGGGAGCGGCCGTGACCCTTCTGGAGTCTGGTGGGGACCTCCAGCTCCCAGGGGGCTCCCTGCGCCTCCTCTGCCGAGGGTCCGGGTTCAGTTTTGGGAGTTTCTCCATGCACTGGCTGCGTCAGAGACCCAGGCAGGGACTGGAGTGGCTCGCAGGAATCCACAGCAGTGGTTCTGACACCACATACGCGCCATCAGTCAAGGGGCGATTCAGGATCTCCAGGGACAACGGGCAGAGCGCAGTGACGCTGACCATGAACAACCTCAAGGACGAGGATTCCGGATCCTATTTCTGTGCCAAGCGTAGTTTTGGTGGCAATGCCAACACTGCCAGTACTTTTGGCCCTTCCCCCATGGCCGTTTCCCCAGCTGTCCCCAGACCCCACCCCAGGCCCAGCCCTGGTTCTTCTGTCCCCACCCGGGCTGATCAATCTCCCCATGGTTGCCCAGGGCCAGGGGTTCGAGTCCTACTGCGGGAGTTTCCCACTGACCCCGAGCTGGGGAGGGGCTGGGCTGGAGGGGCAGGTTTCTGCCCGGACACCTGGACCCCATTCCTGACCCTTTGTCCCAGTCCTAGTCTGGTTTTGTCCCCAGTGTCACCTCTGGGCCACACTCAGTGCCCTTGTAAACAAAAGATTACAGACATGGTCAACATTTGGGACCAAGGCTGAGATGAGGGGTCAAGAATTTAAACCTTGGGCTAAAATTCCTGACGTGAGGCCATAAGCAGCACCACCATTGCTATAAGCACCAGTTGCTTTGGCACAGAAATAAACGGTGGAATCCTCGTCCTTGAGGTTGTTCATGGTCAGCGTCACCAAGCTCTGCCCGTTGTCCTTGGAGATCGTGAACTGGCCCTTCACCGATGGCGCGTAGTTGGCGCTGCCGCTGAACCCAGTGAGCCACTCCAGTGCCTGCCCAGGTCTCTGGCGGATCCAATACAGAGTGGAACCTCCAAAATCGAACCCGGACCCTCGGCAGAGGAGGCGCAGGGACCCCCCGGGGGGCTGGAGGTCCCCCCCGCACTCCAGCAGGGTCACGGTCGCCCGGAGCCCTGCGGGACAAAGGGGAGATGGGGATGAGAAACCTGATTGGCCGAGGGCCTCATACTGGGCAAGGCCAGCTACAAAAAAGGGGCATGACCCACCTGGGAGGAGGGTGATGAACTCCATGGGTCCCAGTTTGTGGCCCAGATTCAGGATTTAGGTCAAGGGTTGAGCTTTGGCCTCATCCCCATCTTCCCTTTTTCTCGCAGGGCTCCGGGCGGCCGTGACACTGCTGGAGTGCGGGGGGACCTCCAGTCCCCCGGGGGGTCCCTCCGCCTCCTCTGCCAAGGGTCCAGGTTCAGTTTTGGGAATTTTGGGATGATTTGGATGAGGCAGAACCCTGGGCAAGGACTGGAATGGGTGGCCGGGATCAGCACCAGTGGCAGCACCATGTACAGCCCATCAGTGCGGGGCTGATTCACAATCTCCAGGGACAACGGGCAGAGCTCGGTGGCACTGACCATGAACTACCACAGGGATGAGGATTCTGCCACCTATTTCTGCACCACATCTGCTGATGGCAGTTGGGGTAACAGTGCTGGCCATGGTGACAATGACAATAGAGCAGCCCTACCACTTTGTTGAAGTCCCCACCCGTCCCCAGCCCCTGACCAGTGATCCGAAACTTGCTCTGTCTTGACCCCAGTTCTCATCTACTGACCCTCAACCATACCTCCAGACTTCGAATCTCCTCTGTGTGCCCCAAAACTTTATAATGAATGCAGATATTTAAGGCCAAGGTTTAAGGTTTGGGTGAACTTTGTAGCCAAAATCAGTGTGAGAATTTTGGCCAGAGCCACTCCAGGGTTGGGACACGGGGTCAGGGATTGGGGATTGGGGATAGGGTGGGGACACAGAGATGAGATCAGGGTGAATATCAACAACACCAACCCAGTAAGAGTACCTGAACTCCCAGCAGCATGTTTGGCACAGAAATAGGACCCGGAATCCTCGTCCTTGAGGTTGTTCATGGTCAGCGTCACCGAGCTCTGCCCGTTGTCCCTGGAGATCGTGACCTGGCCCTTGACCGATGGCGTGTAGAAGGTGCTGGATCCACCCTTGTTGACCACTCCAACCCATTCCAGCCCCTGCCCAGGTCTCTGGCGCACCCAGCTCATGTCGAAATTCCCGAAACTGAACCCAGACCCTCTGCAGAGGAGACGCAGGGACCCCCCGGGGGGCAGGGGGTCCCTCCCCTACTCCAGCAGGGTCACGGCCACCGGGAGCCCCGTGGGACAAAGGGGAGAGGGGGATGAGGCCAAAGCTCAACCCTTGACCCAAACCCTTAACCTTGGCCCCAAACTGGGACCCTTGGAGTTCATCATTCTGCTCCCAGGTGGGTCCCACACCTTTTTCTAGTGGGCCTTGCCCACTTTGAGACCTTCGACCAATCAGGTTTCTCATCCCCATCTCCCCCTTGTCCCGCATTGCTCCGGGGGGCCGTGACACTGCTGGAGTGCGGAGGGGACCTCCAGCCCCCCGGGGGGTCCCTGCGCCTCCTCTGCCGAGGGTCTGGGTTCAGTTCTGGCAGTTTTGCTATGCAGTGGGTGCGCCGGAGACCTGGGCAGGGGCTGGAATTCGCCGCGCGGATCAGGAGCGATGGTTCTACCACAGGGTACGCGCCGTCGGTCAAGGGTCGGTTCAGGATCTCCAGGGACAACGGGCAGAGCTCGGTGATGCTGACCATGAACAACCTCAAGGACGAGGATTCCGGATCCTATTTCTGCGCCAAAGCTGCTGGTGCTGGTTGGGCTGCTGATGTTATTTATATTGACCATGCCAGTGGTGGCAGCGCCCTTGTTTGGGCCTCTCTTGTCCCAAAATCTCAGAACCTTTACCCAAATCTCAGCCCTTGACCTCATTCTTGACCCATTTGCCCAGATCTGCCCCATTTCCACCAATGACCCCAAACCCCCAAAGTGGTTCTGCCACAAACCCTCCTGCTTTGGCCCCAAAACTCGCCCGATTCTGCCCCAAATCCCTACTTTGGGCTCCCAGCCGCAGCCGCTGACACAAACCTCACCCGCTATCCCCAAACCTCACCCGCTATCCCCAAATCACGGCCCTTTGGGCACTTTTGAGGCACGAGGGGGAGATTTGGGGCCGAGAGTTGAGTTTGGGGCCAGACCCAAGGCAGGGTTTGAGGCCAATGGGCAGCGTTGGGGCAAAGGGGGCGGGGCTGGGACAAAGGGTCAGGGGTGGGTCAGGGGGGTTTGGGGGAGGGTCTGGGGACAGCTGGGGACAGCTTGGTGCTCAGAGATGGAGCAGGCACCACCAATGCCATCGTCAACAAATGCAGAACTTGGGTTATATTCATTAAAACATCTGGCACAGAAATAGGTGCCAGAATCCTCGTCCTTGAGGTTGTTCATGGTCAGCGTCACCGAGCTCTGCCTGTTGTCCCTGGAGATCGCGAACCGGCCCTTGACTGATTCCGCGTAGTTGGCCATGTCACTGCTCCAGATCTCAGAAAGGAATTCTAACCCCTGCCCAGGTCTCTGTCGATACCAGCCGATCCCAAAACTCCCAAAACTGAACCCGGACCCTCGGCAGAGGAGGCGCAGGGAACCCCCAGGGGGCTGGAGGTCCCCCCCGCACTCCAGCAGGGTCACGGCCGCCTGGAGCCCTGCGGGACGAAGGGGAGATGGGGATGAGGCCAAAGCTCAACCCTTGACCCTAATCCTGACTCTTGGCCCCAAATTGGGACCCTTGGAGTTCATCATCCTCTTCCCAGGTGCGTTCCATCCCTTTTTCCAGTTTGCCACACCCGCTTTGTGGCGCTGAACCAATCAGGTTCCTCATCCCCATCTCCACTTTTTCCACCAGGTCTTCGGGCGGCCGTGACCCTGCTGGAGTGCGGGGGGGACCTCCAGCCCCCCGGGGAGTCCCTGTGCCTCCTCTGCCGAGGGGCCGGGTTCAGTTTCGGGAGTTTCTCCATTTTCTGGATCCGCCAGAGACCAGGGCAGGGGCTGGAATACATCGCGGGGATCAAGAGCAACGTTGGTGGCATTGGCTACTCAGATTCGGTCAAGGGCCTGTTCAGGATCTCCAGGGACAACAGGCAGAGCTCGGTGACGCTGACCATGAACAACCTCAAGGAGGAGCATTCCCGATCCTATTTCTGTGCCAAATGTGTTGATGGTGGTTGTGGTAACAGCGCTGGTGCTGTTGCTTATGTTGCTGCTTTTGGTTGTGGTCCCAAGCCGCCACCACTTGTTGCTCAAATCTCCCTGAATCCTCTGATCTTTCCCACAAATCACAGCCGTTCTTCTCAAATCTCCATCATTTTTACCCAAACTCTGCCCCTACCTTCCCTAAGTCTCCATTTTCTCACCAGTTTTGCCCATTTGACCCAAATCTCCCCCATCTGCCCGGCCCCTGATTGGCCGAGCTCGCCATGAACCTCAAGGATGAGGATTCCGGATCCTAATTCTGTGCCAAGGCTGCTGGTGCCTGTTGGGGTAATGATGTCACTGTTATTGGCCACTTCCCCTTGCCTGGGTCCCTCCTGTTCCAAAATCCCCAGAACCTTCCCCTAAATCTCAGCCCTTGACCCCATTCTTGACCTTTTTCCCAGATCTCCCCCAGTTCCACCCATCGTGGCAAAAGACCCAAAACCCCCAAACTGGTTCTGCCCCAAATCCTCCTGATTTGGCCCCAAAACTGACCCGATTCTGCCCCAAATCCCCACTTTGGGCTCCCAGCCGCAGCCACTAACCCAAACCTCATCCGCTGCCCCCAAATCTCAGCCCTTGGGGCACTTTTGGGTGTCAAGGATGAGATTTGGGGCCGAGAGTTGAGTTTGGGGCCAGAGGCAGGGCAGGGTTTGGGGCCAATGGGCAGCGTTGGGGCTAAGGGGGCGGGGTTGGGACAAAGGGTCAGGGGTAGGTCAGGGGGGTTTGGGGAAGGGTCTGGGGACAGCTGGGGACAGGGATGGGGCTGAAACCCCAAACACCAACCCAAACACCAATAAAAGCAGCACCAGCAGTACCAGCTCCAGAAGATTTGGCACAGAAATAGGATCCGGAATCCTCGTCCTTGAGGTTTTTCATGGTCAGCGTCACCGAGCTCTGCCTGTTGTCCCTGGAGATCGTGACCCTGCCCTCGACTGATGGTCTGTACCAGGTGTCTCCATCATTGTCAGTCCCTGTGAGCCATTCCTGCCCCTGTCCAGGTCTCTGGCGGATCCACAGCATGGAGAAACTGCCAAAACTTAACCCGGACCCTCGGCAGAGGAGGCGCAGGGACCCCCCGGGGGGTGTGAGGTGCCCCCCGGGCTCTAGCAGGGTCACGGCTGCCCGGAGCCCCGCGGGACAAAGGGAAGATGGGCATGAGGCGATGCAAAACTCAGGCAGAGCTGTCCGGTAATTGTTGGGTGGATCGGAGCTAATTGCAGTGTTGAAGGCACATTACAATACTGGAAATCTCTGTTGTAGATTTGAGGCCAGACCAACGGGAGTTTGGGGCTTAACTGACCAAGGTTTGGGGATGGGGGAGCGGCCGTGACCCTGCTGGAGTGCGGGGGGCACCTCCAGCCCCCTGGGGGGGCCCTGCGCCTCCTCTGCCGAGGGTTCGGGTTCAGTTTTGGCAGTTTCTCCATGCAATGGATCTGCCAGAGACCCAGGCAGGGGCTGGAATGGCTCGCGGGGATCAGGAACGATGGTGATGACACCGGGTACGCGCCGTCGGTCAAGGGCTGGTTCACGATCTCCAGGGACAATGGGCAGAGCTCGGTGACGCTGACCATGAACAACCTCAAGGACGAGGATTCTGGATCCTATTTCTGTGCCAAATCTGCTGCTGCTGGCAATTGAGGCGATGCTGCTGCATATGTTGAAGACACCAGTCGTGGATCCACCCCCGTCCCCATGTCCCCCCCTGTTTCGGGTCCCCAGACCCTTCCCCCAAACCTCACCCATTGACCCTTGGTCCCAAATCTCCCCCATTTGCACCAATGGTCAGCACTGACCCCAAACCCTCCCCTGCTCCTGCCCCACAACTCAACCATTGGCCCCAAACCTTCACCCCTGGCCTGCAGGTCAGGCCTCCTCTAATCAGGGCCTGGGGAACTGGGGGAGACTGGGGTGAAATGGGCAAAACTGGAGGAAAGTCTAGAGTTGGGCAGCAGGGGCTGAGTTTGGGGGAAAAGGGCTGAGATTTCAGGAAAAGGGCTGGGATTTTGGGGAAGGATCAGAGAATTCTGTGATACTTGGCAACACAGAAAAAGGGCTTGGGACCACACCCACCATCAACCCCATAAGCATAAGCGCCATTACCACAGCCACTGCTGTAACATTTGGCACAGAAATAGGATCCAGAATCCTCGTCCTTGAGGTTGTTCATGGTCAGCGTCACCGAGCTCTGCCCGTTGTCCCTGGAGATCCTGAACCGGCCCTTGAAGGATGGCACGTAGAAGGTGTTGGCACCATCACTGCTTATCCCTGCCAGCCACTACAGCCCCTGCCCGGGTCTCTGACGCATCCAGAACATGGAGAAACTGCCAAAATAAAACCGGGACCCTCGGCACAGGAGGCGCAGGGACCCCCCGGGGGGCTGGAGTTTCCCCCCGCACTCCAGCAGGGTCACGGCCGCCCGGAGCCCTGTGGAACAAAGGGGAGATGGGGATGAGAAACCTGATTGGGCAAGAGCCTTAAAGTGGGTGTGGCCAGCTGGGAAAAGGGGCGGGACCCACCTGGGAGGAGGATGATGAACGCCAATGGTCCCAATTTGGGGCCAAGAGTCAGGATTTGGGTCAAGGGTTGAGCTTTGGCCTCATCCCCATTGGTGACTTCTTCCTGACCCTCACTCTTGGACACGTTTGGATCCCCCTGTGCCCTATAAAAGGGGCTGGTTTAGCCCATCTGACTGGAGAAGAGCTGTCGCTGGAATCCCTCACATATCCCTCAATGAACCTTCGCTGTGGATCCACCAGGACCCCTCCTTGTCCTCTCTGTCCGTCTTCTTCTGCCCCGGCTAAAGTCACCCTAGTGAGAAAACTACTGGAATCCTGATAGCTGAGAATTCCTAAAGAGCTGAAACCCTGAGAGGTGAAATCCCTAAAGAGCTGAAATCCTGAGAGCTGAGAATCACTAAAGAGCTGAAGTCACTGAGCTTGCTGAGATGGCGGCATCTCTGAGCCGATTGGGTGTTGGGGCACTCTGATGCCTAGAGTTACCCAGATTGGCCAGCGTGGCTCAGGGATCAGCCCAAATCAAATATCTGGGTCTTATCAGGGTTGGGACATGGGGACGGGAATGGGGTCAGGGCTTGGGGTGTGGGGGAAGGCTCCGGGGAATGGGGACAGGAGGGGAGCCAGGGCACGGGGACGGGGCCAAACTGATAAGCATCAGCAGAAGCCCAATTATCACCATAAGCACATTTGGCACAGAAATAGGATCCGGAATCCTCGTCCTTGAGGTTGTTCATGGTCAGCGTCACCGAGCTCTGCCCGTTGTCCCTGGAGATCGTGAACCGGCCCTGCACCGATGGCGCGTAGTAGGTGTGAGCACCATCATACCTGATCCCCGCGACCCATTGCAGGCCCTGCCCGGGACTCTGTCGAGCCCATTCCATTTCAAAACTGCTGAAACTGAACCCGGACTCTCGGCAGTGGAGGCGCAGGGACCCCCCGGGGGGCTGGAGGTCCCCCCCGCACTCCAGCAGGGTCACGGCCGCCTGGAGCCCTGCGGGACAAAGGGGAGATGGGGATGGACAAAGCTCAACCCTTGATCCAAATCCTGTCTCTTGGCCACAAATTGGGACCCTTGGAGTTCATCATCCTCCTCCTCCCAGGTGGGTCCCATTCCATTTTCCAACTGGCCAAACCCACTTTGAATCCCTCAACATTTCAGGTTTCTCATCCCCATCTCCCCTTTGTCCCGCAGGGCTCCGGGCGGCCGTGACACTGCTGGAGTGCGAGGGGGACCTCTAGACCCCCGGGGGGCCCTGTGCCTCCTCTCCTGCACCTCTGGGTTTGATTTTGAAAAATTTGCAATGCTGTGCATCTACCAGAGACCCGGGCAGGGGCTGGAAATGGTGGCAGGGATCAGCAGAAAACGTGGAAGCATCTTTTACACGGACTCGGTCAAGGGCCGGTTCACATTGACGAGCGACAACGGGCAGAGCTCGGTGGCGCTGACCATGAACAACCTCAAGGATGAGGATTCCGCCACCTATTTCTGCGTGAAATCTGGTTTTACTAATGGAGGTTGGAGTGGTGCTGGAGCTGTTGATGATTTTGGCCCTGTCCCTTTCCCCATGTCACCCCTGTCCCCGTTCCCCAGACCCTTCCCCAATCCCCAGCCCCTGACCCCATTCCTGTCCCCCCGTCCCAGCTCTGTACTGGCTCTGCCCCAGATCTCTTTTCCTGGCCCCAAACCTCAGCTCTGGGCTCCACGTCCCAAACAACTCCCCAAAACTGACGAGGATGTCCCAGATCCGGCCCCACCGTGTCAATCTGCCTTTGCTTTGGGTGATTGGCCAGAAACCTCTCGCGGTCAGCGACGCCATCGAGTTCTGTATGTGCAGCCGGGGCCGTGAGCCGCCGGCACCTCCCCATGGCCACAGCTTGGTGAGCAGAGCGATGGTGGGAAACCGATTGGCTCCAGAGGGGTCCCCACAGCCCCGGCCCAGTGGGGATTGGGACAGTGACCCCCAAGAGGGGATGGGCCAAGGGCTGAGGATTGGGGGAATTGTTAGGGGTTTGGGGAAAGGTGGGGACGCTGAGATGGGGGCGTGGATCCACCGCTGGGGCCTCTACAATAAGTAGCAGGATCCCAAGCATCAGCATAACCAGATTTGGCACAGAAATAGGATCCGGAATCGTCGTCCTTGAGGTTGTTCATGGTCAGCATCACCGAGCTCTGCCCGTTGTCCCTGCAGATCGTGAACCGGCCCTTGACCGATGATGCGTAGTCGGTGTAAGCACCATCGTTCCTGATCCCCACGACCCATTCCAGCCCCTCTCCGGGTCTCTGGCGCAACCACAGCATGCCAAAACTCCCAAAATTGAAGCTGGCCCCTTGGCAGAGGAGGCGCAGGGACCCCCCTGGGGGCTGGAGATGCCCCCCGCACTTTAGCAGGGTCACGGCCGCCCGGAGCCCTGTGGGACAAAGGGGAGATGGGGATGAGGCCAAAGCTCAACCATTGACCCCAATCCTGACTCTGGGCCCCAAATTGGGACCCTTGGAGTTCATCATCCTCCTCCCAGGTGGGTCTCGATACTTTATGAAGCTTGACCCTCCCAGTTTCTGGCCCTGAGCCTATCAGGTTCCTCATCCCCATCTCCCCTTTGTCCCGCAGGGCTCCGGGCGGCCGTGACCCTGCTGGAGTGCGGGAGGGACCTCCAGCCCCCCGGGGGGTCCCTGCGCCTCCTCTGCTGAGGGTCTGGGTGTGGCTCGTGGGGATCACCAACACTGGTGGCAGTACCTACTACGCGCCATCGGTCAAGGGCCGGTTCATGATCTCCAGGGACAACGGGCAGAGCTCGGTGACGCTGGCAATGAACAACCTCACGGACGAGGATTCCGGATCCTATTTCTGTGCCAAACGTGCTTATGCTGGTTATGTGGGTCCTGGTGCGAATTTAAATGACACCCAAGGTGGATCCAAGCCCCTATCTCAGTGTCCTCTCCTGTCCCCAATCCCCAGACCCTTCCCCTAGGTCTCAGCCCTTCACCGCATTCCTGCCCCTTTGTCCCAGATCTCCCCCAGTTTCATAACAAAACCATGGAGCCAAAATCCCCAATCGGGTTCTGCCCCACATCCAACAAAGTTTGCACCAAAATCGCCCGATTCTGCCCCAAAACCCCACTTAGCGCTCCCAGCCACAGCTGCTGACACGAATCCTCAACCTTTGTCCCCAAATCGGGGCCCTGGGCCTCAAACCCCGACCTTCAGAGCAAAGTTTAGGGCACAAAGAGGAGATTCTGGGTCAGGAGTTGTGGTTTGGGGTCAGCGGGTGAGAACTGGGGCCGAGGCAGAGCAAGGTTGGGATCAATGGTTAAGGGCTGGGTGTGGGCTGGGGATTTGGGGGAAGGGTCTGGGGAACAGGAACAGGGGGGCACACGGGGATGGGATCAAAATGTTCAACACCAGCAGCACCATCATAGCAACCACCATCAATACATTTGGCGCAGAAATAGGATCCGGAATCCTCGTCCTTGAGGTTGTTCATGGTCAGAGTCACCGAGCTCTGCCCGTTGTCCCTGGAGATCCTGAATCGACCCTTGACCAATGTCGCATAGTCGGTGCTGGAACTAGCAGGGCTGCTGATCCTTGTGACAAATTCCAGCCCCTGCCCGGGTCTCTGCCGGATCCTGAACATTCCTTAATCTCCAAAACTGAACCCGGACCCTCGGCAGAGGAGGCGCAGGGAACCCCCGGGGGACTGGAGGTGCCCCCCGCACTCCAGCAGGGTCACGGCGTCTGCCCAGAGCCCTGCAGGACAAAGGGGAGATGGGGATGAGGCCAAAGCTCAACATTGACCCAAATCCTGACTCTGGGCCCCAAACTGGGACCTTTGGACCACCCCATCCTAGTTGTCCTGCTCCTGCTGCCCCTCTCAGGTGGGTCCCACCCCATTTTCCAGTTTGAAACACCCACTTTGAGGCCCTCAGGTAATCAGGTTTCTAATCCCCATCTCGCCTTTGTCCCGCAGGGCTCCGGGCAGCCGTGACCCTGCTGGAGTGTGGGGGGGACCTCCAGCCCCCCGGGGGTTCCCTGCGCCTCCTCTGTCGAGGGTCCGGGTTCTGTTTCGGCAGTTTTGCCCTGAACTGGATCCGCCAGAGACCCGGGCAGGCGCTGGAATTCGTCACGTGGATCAGGAGCGATGGTTCCGGCACCATTTACACTCTGTCGGTCAAGGGCTGGGTCACGATCTCCAGGGACAACGGACAGAGCTCGGTGACGCTGACCATGAACAGCCTCAAGGAGGAAGATTCCGGATCCTATTTCTGCGCCAAAGTTGCTGGTTCTGCTTGGGATGCTGCTGCTTATATTGACCGTGCCGATGGTGGCAGCGCCCTTGCCTGAGCCCCTCTTGTCCCCAAATCTCAGAACCTTTACCCAAATCTCAGCCCTTGACCTCATTCTTGACCCTTTGCCCAGATCTGCCCCATTTCAACCAATGGTTACCAAAGTCCCCAAACCCCCAAACTGGTTCTGCCCCAAACCCCCAAACTGGTTCTGCCCCAAACCCTCATGCTTTGGCCCCAAAACTCGCCCGATTCTGCCCCAAATCCCCACTTTGGGCTCCCAGCCGCAGCCGCTGACCCAAACCTCACCCGCTGTCCAAAAATCTCGGCCCTTGGGGCACTTTTGGGGCACGAAGGGGCGATTTGGGGCCGAGAGTTGAGTTTGGGGGCAGACCCATGTGAGGGTTTGGGGCCAATGGGCAGCGTTGGGGCAATAGGGGCGGGGCTGGGACAAAGGGTCAGGGGTAGGACAGGGGGATTTGGGGAAGGGTCTGGGGACAGCTGGGGACAGGGACAGGGCTGAAACCCCAAACACCAACCCAACCACCAGGAGTGAAACCAATGGAATGGGCAGCATTCCAGCCACCATGGGAATCCCTGGCACAGAAATAGGATCCGGAATCCTCGTCCTTGAGGTTGTTCATGGTCAGCGTCAGCGAGCTGTGCCCGTTGTCCTTGGAGATCGTGAACCGGCCCTGGACCGACGGCGCGTAGTACGTTATGGAAAGATCGTAGCTGATCTCTGCCACGAACTCCAGTCCCTGTCCAGGTCTCTTGCGGACCCAGTGCATGTTCACATTCCCGAAAGTGAACCCGGCCCCTCGGCAGAGGAGGCGCGGGGACCCCCTGGGGGGCTGGAGGTTCCCCCCGCACTCCAGCAGGGTCACGGCCGCCCGGAGCCCTGCGGAACAAAGGGGAGGTGATGGAAATGAAAAACCTGATCCCATGAATTTCTCATAGTTCATGTGGTCTGCTGGAAAACGTGATGGGACCCGCTGGGAGGAGGAGGGAGGGTGATTAACTCCAAGGGTGCCAGTTTGGGGCCCAGAGTCAGGATTTGGGTCAAGGGTTGAGCTTTGGCCTCACCCCCATCTCCCCTTTGTCCCGCAGGGCTCCGGGCGGCCGTGACCTTGCTGGAGTGCGGGTGGGACCTCCAGCCCCCCGTGGGTTCCCTGTGCCTCCTCTGCCGAGGGTCCGGGTTCAGTTTTAGACGAGCCAGTCTGATGTGGATCCGCCAGCGGCCTGGGTAAGGCCTGGAATACATTGCAGGGATTGATTATGACGGAGACACCAGATACCCGTCATTGTTCAGCGGCCGAGTCAGCATCTCCAGGGACAACGGGCAGAGCTCGGTGAGCTGACCATGATCAACCTCTAGGACGAGGATTCCGGATTCTATTTCTGTGCCAAAACTCCTGAGGGTTGTAATGCTGTTCTTGCTTATCGTAGTGACGCTGCTGGTGCTGGTTATGGAGCATTTAGCCCCCCCCCTTTTTTGCGTCCATAATTGTCCCCACACCCCAGACCCTTCCCCCAAATCCCAGCCCTCGTCCCCGCTCTCGGTGACTGAATTCGTGTCCCCAGCCCCAGGCCCAGCGCTGACCTTTGGGGCAGAGTTTGGGGGAAGATCAATGGCCAAGGGTTGGGGTTTGGGGCCGGAGAGGGGAAAGGGAAATGGGGAAATGGTCACGGGCTGGGTCAGGGGGTGGGAGCTGGGGAAGGGTCTGGGGAATGGGGACGGGGGCACGCAGTGATGGGGAAGGGGTCAATACAGCAGGCATTGTTATCACCAGCATAACCAGCAAAACCCTTGGCGCAGAAATAGGATCCGGAATCCTCGTCCTTGAGGTTGTTCATGGTCAGCGTCACCGAGCTCTGCCCGTTGTCCCTGGAGATCCTGAACCGGCCCTGGACCGATGGCGCGTAGTAGATGTAGGAACCATCACTGTAGATGCCTGCGAGCCACTCCAGCCCCTGCCCGGGTCTCTGGCGGACCCAGCTCATGGGGTAACTCCCGAAATCAAACCTGGACCCTCGGCAGAGGAGGCGCAGGTACCCCCCCGGGGGGCTGGAGGTCCCCCCCACATTCCAGTTGGGTCACGGCTGCCCGGAGCCCTGCAGAACAAAGAGGAGATGGGGAGGAGGAGCTGGATTGGTTATGGACCCAAAGTGGGCACCGCCATGCCAGAAAAAGGGTGTGGGATCCACCTGGGAGGGCCAGCAGGAGCTGAAGGAGGAGGATGGGGAGGTCCCAGGGTCCCAATTTGGGGCCAACATCAGGGTCTGCAGGAAAGAATCAACATTGGGGTGGATTTGTTCCCTCATCCCCATCTCCCCTTTGTCCCGCAGGGCTCTGGCTGGCCGTGTCCCTGCTGGAGTGCGGGGGGGCCCTCCAACCCCCCCGGGCTCCCTGCGCCTCCTCTGCCGAGGGTCCGGGTTCAATTTCAGGAGTTTCAGAAGGTTCTGGATGTGCCAGAGACCCGGGCAGGGGCTGGAAGACGTTGCAGTGATCAAGAATGATGGATCCAGCTACACCTACGCATTATCAGTGCAGGGCTGGTTCAGGATCTCCAGGGACAACGGGCAGAGCTCGGTGACGCTGACCATGAACAACCTCAAGGACGAGGATTCCGGTTCCTATTTCTGTGCCAAAAATGCCTATGATGGTTGGGGTTGGGAGGCTCATGCTGCTGGTTCTAATTTTGGTCCCGTCCCCATCCCCGTTCACCAGGTCCTTCCCTCCAACCCTTGACCCCATCCTTGAACCCCATGGACCCAAGCTGGCCCATTTTCTCCAAATCTCCACCATTTGCACCCAGGTTTGGGGACATTGGTTGGGACTTGGAGCCCAGAGCTCAGGTTTCGTGCCAAGAGTCGTGGTTTGGGTCCAGCAGCTGACATTTGGGGCAGAACCAGCTGAGTTTGGGGCCAATGGTCACAAGTAAACCCCGCTGAGATCTGGGGCACAAAGGGCAGAGTTTTGGGGATGAACCTTTGAGATTGGGGCCAAATTATGAAAGTCCTATAGAAATGTGAGAGGTGAGGCAATGATGGGGGAGTTGGGGGAAAATGTTCAGGATTCAGTGCCAGGAGTAAAGATTTGAGGGTAGAATGTCGGAATTTTTTGATGTTTGTGGGCTTTCAATGGCTAGAGTGGGTCCACCACTGGCATTGTCAATAAAAACAGCATAAATATAGGGACCACAACCATTGGTGTAACATTTGGCGCAGAAATAGGATCCAAAATCCTCGTCCTTGAGGTTGTTCATGGTCAGCGTCACCAAGCTCTGCCCGTTGTCCCTGGAGATCCTGAACCGGCCCTGGACTGAATCCGTGTAGCCAGAGTTGTCACCAGTTCTCCTGATCCACGCGAGCCACTCCAGCCCCTGCCCGGGTCTCTGGCACACCCAGAACATGTCGTAGCTCCCGAAACTGAGCCCGGACCCTCGGCAGAGGAGGCGCAGGGAAGCCCGGGGGGCTGGAGGTCCCCTCCGCACTCCAGCAGGGTCACAGCCGCCCGGAGCCCTGTGGGACAAAGGGTTAGATGGGGATGAGGCCAAAGCTCAAACACTGACCCAAATCCTGACCCTTGTACCAAAACTGGGACGCTTGGAGTTCATCATCCTCCTCCCAGGTGGGTCTCGATACTTTATCAAGCTTGACCCTCCCAGTTTGCGGCCCTGAACGAATCAGGTTTCTCATCCCCATCTCCCCTTTGTCCTGCAGGGCTCCGGGCAGCCGTGACCCTGCTGGAGTGTGGGAGGGACCTCCAGCCCCCCGGGGGGTCCCTGCGCCTCCTCTGCCGAGGGTCCGGGTTCAGTTTCGGACAATTTGGGATGGGCTGGTATGGACAGAGACCCGGGCAGGGGCTGGACTGGATCGCTGCGATCTGGAGCAGTGGTGCCACCTACTACGCACCATCTGTCAAGGGTCGGTTCAGGATCTCCAGGGACAACGGGCAGAGCTCGGTGACGCTGACCATGAACAACCTCAAGGACGAGGATTCCGGATCCTATTTCTGTGCCAAAAGTTGGGATGATTGTTGCGGTCCTGCTGCTGGTAAAGACATTGATTGTGATGATGTTGGTCACGGTGTTTTTTTCTGAGTCCTCAATTTTGAGTTCCCTCCTCTCCCAAAACCAGGCCCTTCCCCCAAACCTCAGCCCTTGACCCTTTGTCCCAAATCTCCCCCATTTGCCCCAATGGTCAGAACTGACCCCAAACCCTCCCCTGCTCCTTCCCCAAAACTCAACCATTGGCCCCAAACCTTCAGCCCTGGCCTCCAGTTCAGGCCTCCTCCAATCATGGCCGGGGAGCTGGGGGAGATTTGGGCGAAATGGGCAAAATTGGGGAGACAATCGAGACTAGGGAACGGACGGGGCAAAGTTTGTGGGAAAATGGTGAAGATTTGACACAAAGGGCTGGGATGCCAGGGAAGGATGGCTGGGCATTGGAGACACTTTTTGACCAACATGGGGGTGGTCCGCTGACAGAATTGTCGCCAATAAGAACAGGACCAGCAAAACCATAATCATTATTGCTACGTTTGGTACAGAAATAAACGGCGGAATCCTCGTCCTTGAGGTTGTTCATGGTCAGCGTCACCGAGCTCTGCCCGTTGTCCCTGGAGATCGTGAACCGACCATTGATTGATGGCGCGTGGTGGGTGGTGCCAACCCCATTGATACTTGCGAGGTATTCCAGTGTCTTCCCAGATTTCTGGCGATTCCAGAACATTCCATAATTTCCGAAATCGAACGCGGGCCCTCGGCAGAGGAGGCGCAGGGCCTGCCTGGGGGGCTGGAGGTCCCCCCCGCACTCCAGCAGGGTCACGGCCGCCCGGAGCCCTGCGGGACAAAGGGGAGATGGGGATGAGGCCAAAGCTCAACCTTTGACCCAAATCCTGACCCTTGGCCCCAAACTGGGATCTTTAGAGTTCATCACCCTCCTCCCAAGTGGATTCCACCCCTTTGTCCAGCTGGCCTCACCAACTTAGGGGCCCTTGACCAATCAGGTTTCTCATTTCCATCATCTCCCCTTTTTCCCGCGGGGCTCCGGGGGGCCGTGACCCTGCCGGAGTGCGGGGGGGACATCCAGCCCCCCGGGGGGTCCCTGCGCCTCCTCTGCCGAGGGGCCAGGTTCAGTTTCGGCAGTTTTGAAATGGAATGGGCTCGACAGAGGCCCGGGCAGGGGCTGGAGTGGGTCGCGGGGATCAGGTACGATGGTGCTTACACGTACTATGCGCCATCATTCAAGGGCCGGTTCACGATCTCCAGGGACAACGGGCAGAGCTCGGTGACACTGACCATGAACAACCTCAAGGACGAGGATTCCGCCGTTTATTTCTGTGCCAAACGTGCTTATGGTGATAATTTATCTTATGCTGATGCTTATCATTTTGTCCCCGTCCCCGTGCCCTTGCTCCCCTCCTGTCCCCATTCCCCAGGCCCTTCCCCCCAACCCCAAGCCCTGACCCCTTTCCTGTCCCCTTGTCCCAACCCTGATAAGACCCAGATATTTGATTTGGGCTGATCCCCGAGCAATGCTGGCCAATCTGGATAAATCTTGGAGAAAGAGTGCCCCAACACCCAATCAGCTCAGAGATGCCACCATTTCAGCAAGCTCAGTGTCTTCAGCTCTTCAGTGATTCTCAGCTCTCAGGATTCCAGCTCTGTTATTGATTATCAGCTCTCAGGGTTTCAGCTCGTAAGGGATTCTCAGCTCTCAGGATTCCAACTCTTTGCTCTCTCTCTGGGGCGCCTTTGGCTGGGGCAGAACCAGACAGACAGAGAGGACAAGGAGAGGTCCTGGTTTTAGCACAGCCATGGTTAATTGAGGGATCTGTGAGGGGTTCCAGCGACAGCTCTTCTCCTGTCAGATGGGATAAACCAGCCCCTTTTTATAGGGTACAGGGGGATCCAAACGTGCCCAACAGTGAGGGTCAGGGAGAAGTCACCAATGGGGTTACAGAGATAAGCTCTGGTGTGAGAGGCAGAAGACAGGAGATCATTTTGCTGTCCCATCATGACTGAGCAGTTCCAGCTGTTACATCTCAATCCTGCATGGAGCTCGTGCAATCTCTGTGGACTCTGCTAAAGGACATGAGGTCAACACGATAGGCAACAGTCTCCCAGCCAGTACCATCATCAAGAGATTTGGCACAGAAATAGGATCCAGAATCCTCGTCCTTGAGGTTGTTCACGGTCAGCGTCACCGAGCTCTGCCCGTTGTCCCTGGAGATCGTGACCCGGCCCTTGACAGACGACGTGTAGGCGGTGGTGCCACCACTGGTGATCCCCGCGAGC